TATAAACTAAATAATTTATTCAATTTGAAAAAATAAGAAGAATAAAATAAGAAATTCAATTTGAGCTAATCGAACACTACTTTAGCTACGTGCAAACTACCTATAAAACACAATTTGCACGTACACGTAGTTAAAAAAGTGTTTATCAACATTGTACTATATTGCATGCAATATATATTGGGTATATGTCTTATTAGTAATAAGATATTTGCTCAATATATATGATAATAATCATGCCGTAATATAACGTTAAACATTAAAATGCGTCTAACAACGTTTATTAATAAGTTTATGCTTTTGGTGTAAAACTCTTGTCCACTTTTGAAAAAAAATTTAATAAAACTCTACACCATCTAATGTTGATACACTTTTATATAAAGCTGCTCAATAAAAAAAGATTTAAAAAAGATTTGCAAAAGCCTTTTGCACTGTTTTGTGATACCGTTTTGTAAGCAGCTTTACAGTGTTAACAGTTTTACACCGTTAGAGTTTTACAGTGTTAAAGTTTACACCATTTTATGAAAAACACGGTTTTATGAAAAACACCGTTTTGTAAAACAGCGTAAAACTGAAATTATAACTTTGTAAAAAGGTGTAAAACAGCTTTAGGGAAAAGTGGAGAGAAGCGGGACGCGGGAGAATTGGGACAGCCTGAAATTTCTAATTTGGAGTGGTGCCTAAATACTGTTAATTAATGTAAACAAATAAATTTCTTTCCTCCCTATTTAGCAAAAACTGCTTTGTTTCGCTGCGTGCGCTAGAAGCCCTAATTTTGAAATGTACCTTAAAAAAGTATTTTCATTGGGGTGAAGTAGGACAGAAAGAACAGGACAGAGAAAAGAATAATTTATGACCCGCTTCTTCCCATCTCTATTTGATTATCTCGATAGGTGAAAGCTCTTGAACATTTTTATGTCGATTAGGAGATTTTATGATTTTTCGATTTCATATCTTGTGTTAAATGTTGTCTTAAATTTATTTGTCACACATCTACTCCCACTTTACCCCAAGTTTCCCGCCAATTATAAGTAAGCATATAAACTTTTGCTTTTAGAGAAACGTCCCCGTGGGACGGTTTCTCTAAAAGCAAAAGTTTATATGGTTACTTATAATTGGCTGGAAACCTTGAACCGGTGCCTAAAAAGAAGGTTTATTTGTAAAAACTTGTTTAGTTTAGTTTATACATCAAATAAAAAAGATATTGCAATTACCCTAAAAAAATTTACGTACCTCTCTTCTCCCCATTCTCCCCTACACCACTTTACACTGTTTATACCAAACCGGTGTAAATTTAAACTCTTTGCTTAATAACTTTCGTAAAGTACCGAAGTTATGTAAACACCAAAACGGTATAATTTTACACTTTTCAATTAAAAGTGTACACTCTGAAGCTTAATTTTTAATAAAATGGTGAAAAATAGCACTTTTTTTTAATTCACTGCACCGTTTCAAAAAGGTGTAAAAATTGGTTATTGTAAAGTTTTTCTTCTTTTATACCTTTTATTTAAACGGTGTAAAACGGTGTAAAACAGCTTTACACCATTTTACACCGTTTTACACCGTTTAATTAAAAGGTGTAAAAGAAAAAAAAATCACAATAATTAATTTTTACACCTTTTTAAAACGGTGTAGTGATTATAAATAATGTTATAATGTTATTTCACACCGTTTTATTAAAAATTAACCTTCAGATTGTATAATTACACCAAAATGGCGTAAATTTACACTTTTTGCAAAAAAAAATTTCGAAAAACAAAGTTTGAAGTTATATTAACACCAAAACGGTGTAATTTTACACCTTTTAACTAAGAGTGTAATATTACACGCTTTTTTAAATTTGTTGTAAAAAAAACAACAACAACAACAAAACTGTTTCTTTGTTTCAACAACAAAACTGTTTCCCTCAATCACGTAAAAATTATTTTTCAGTTGGACCCAAAGTTGTAAGTTAATGTATCATTATACAAAAAAAAAGAAGTTATATTTACAAAACAAACAAATATAAATCAAATTGAATTTGCTAAGTTGAAATTGAAAAAATTTTATACTTACAGCAAACTGTTCTTTTTATATAATTATATAATAATAAAAAATCTTTTTATTATATGTCATATTATCTAATATGTCAGAAAATCAGAATATTTTTAATTAACAGATTTTTATTTTAAATGTAAGTTCATATTAAACAGTGAAAAATTTTAAACTCTACCAAAATATCAATATAAAATGGCGGCTTATTGGTTGCATACAACTTAGCCGACAATACTGCTTTGTTACAACTTCAGTGCTATATTCAATGTTAATTTTAGCATGTATTTGAAAAGGAGAAAATTTAGTGAAGAAAAAAACTACAAGATTCTGCTAACTTGGCTCGATGCAGCTAACATGTGTGCAAAAATATTCCAATATTTGTTAATCTGAAATCAAATAAACCCCATCGCTTTAAAGAAATAAAAAGTCATTCCGTCATTTTGAGTTAAAAAACAGAAAAACTCCAATTTATTTGAAGAGTGGGTGAAAGAGCATTACAAAAAGATTATAAGAAATTTAACATTGTTTGTTGATAATATAAGAATCTTAAATCACACTCTAACTTTTTTTTTTATATGTATATATTTCGCCGTTTAAATATAGCTACAATACCAAAATGTATAAATAAATATTTACATGGCCGGGACAAAAAGAAGACAAAAATAGTCTCATCGCTAAGCCCCGTAGTTTACATCGTATTTTTAGATTATAAGCAGTTGTTTTATAAGATAAATATTTTATAATACCGTTAAAAATTGAAATATACTTTTGTTTAATTAACATAAGCCAAAAAATAAAATTAAAATAAATAAATTAATAAATAAAAACATGACACAATTCAACTAAAGTCATTAAAAAAAAAAGAAAAAACCTCAAGGTATAAAATAAATAAAACTAAACAAAATTAAATATAAGAGCTGATTTGAAATAAAGTTATAAAAGGAACTATTTGTTAAATAATTATATTGATTGTTAATCCATAATTATTAATAGGATTAAGAGTTATTTTTTACACTGATTAAGTTAATAATAACAAGAGCAGTTAAAAGCAAACCAGGTGGCTTGTTCGCACTTCGTCTCTTAAATTTCTTAAAAAATTTAAACTTTCTGTTTGCAATTTAGAAAACTTAAACTTTCTGTTTGGAATATCTTTTTAGATAAACTCCAAAAATATTCCAATAATTGACAATAAGATTTTGATTATGGGAAGAGTAAAGACAAACGGTTATCATGGATTATAGCTTTGAACGACCAATTTGACAGATTAGGCAACAACACATCGTCCTTCTTGTTTCAGATCTCATTTGTATTGACTTGAAATCAAACAAATTGGAGAGTGCAACTTCTTTCCTCTCTTGTTTCCTGCGCAAAGTAGTTCTGCACGATTTGCAGAGTCCTTGTGGTACTCAATAATTGGCTTTTACAATTGACAAATTCTGATTGAAAAGCAGTAAGCTGTTTGAAAAAATTTTTCAGGTAGAACAAGCATACAAACTTTCAATTTTGTCATTCACTAAATTTAACTTCACTAAATCAAACTATTTTCTCAAAAGTTTATTACAAAATTTAACCCAAATATATATTGGATAACAATCCACTAAACATACTTACAAACAGTAGCGGATTAAGACTTTTTGGGGCCCAGAGCTAAAAAAAAAAAAAAACAAGGTCCTAAAAAATTTTTGGGGGGCCACTAAATTTGCGGGGCCCCAAAAAAATTAGGGCCCTTTAGCCTCCCCCCTCCCTTCTTGATCCGGCACTGCTTACAAATATAATTAATTGAAAGCTATTTAAATCAAGAAATGTTAACTTAAATTACAAAAAATAATAATTATTTAAATTAATAATACTTGTCACACTTAATAACAATTTAGATTTTATTCAATATAAAAAATATTGGGTTTTATCACAGTTTTTCTGTTTTAAGAAAAATAAGTGTTTTTTATTTTCTATGTAGGTATTCCTAAAAAGCATTTTCAACCATTTTTAGCCTTTTTATGCATTTTGACAATCGTTTATAATATAAACTTTTTAGCATTTTTATTTTGAAAGTAGTTTATAGAATAAGAAGGTGCTGAGATTTTTACGCTATGCATAAGTCAACTCAAACCACGCTTTAAATAGCAAGTTAGTATTTTGGTCTATAAAAGGAAAATTGTACATGTACCTATAAAACAATAATAATAAAATTCCTTGTGTAACATAGTAGAGCACTTGTGTAATCATTATTTTTAAAATAGTGACAATAATCACAATAATCAATAACGTTTTGATGTACAAGTAGCAAAAAAATAACAAAATTTAAACTAAAACTGCCATAAATCATTAGCCAGTAAACCAATCAGACTGAAATTATAGTCAGATTTTGGTGTGATTATAAGCAGGGCCGGCGATAGGGGGGTGCATGATAGGGTGTTACTCCCCCCCCAAAAAAAAACAAACAAACAAACAAACAAAAAACAAACAAACTAAACCATAGTCGGCACAAGGCCACAACAGTCAGTCGGCAAAAGTCGATATGCAGTAGGCAAGTTTTAAAAAAATCGAAGACCTTTTTTTTTTTATGTCAGCCAAAGTTGAATGGCACCCCCACGTGACACCTACTCGCGCCGGCCCTGATTATAAGCTTCATTTGCAGCAGTTTTTATCAAATTATATAGAGTGGTTCTTACTCTACAGGTGTTTTTACTGGCGCACTATGAAGCCAAAATTCTCTCAATTTTTTAAATTTATAGAATTTTTGACCTAATATATTCTCTAAATTTTATAAGAAAATCAAAATCTTATTTTAAATCATCCGTAACTATTACAAACGCCCAGTCACCGGAAAGTCTCTGTAATACAGACTATATATAAATACAGACTGTATGCTCCTGTGTATTTAATCTATTCCCCCCCCCCCCCCCCTTCTAAATAATTGCTAATTGAAAAGATTTATCAGATTTAAAAAATAGCTAAAGGACGTAAACAAAGTGAATTACAGATAGAATGTTTCAAACATTGTTTAGTTTAACATATTAATAATTGTTAAAGGGAATTGTTTGAAAAGTTTTTAAAAACTTGATTTTATTAAACTTATTAGATAAAACTATTATTTTTCCTGGTGCAAAATGAAATGTTTTTTAGTGAGCTCACTTTAACTAGTGTATAAAAGATAAGGCAGAAGTTTGAAAAAAAAAATCACTAACAATGTAAATAAGAAGAGTTTTTTAAAAAAATCCGGAGAATAACATAAATATTTTTTTAAATTGAATGACTAAATTTAAAAAACGAAAAAATAAAATATATATATATTTTTTAAATTTAGTCATTCAATCTCTTTTTAATCTTTGAATCTCTTCAAAAACAAAATGTTTTTATATTTTTTAAATAAAGGTTCTTTTTAATTAGGTTTGTTAATATGGGTGAATATTTTTTTGCTGGTTGTGAGGGAGGTGCTAGTCATTCAGTTATGATTATTGTTAATCAACATGGTTCTATTGTAGCAGAAACTGAAGGAGAAGGAACAAATCATTGGCTGATAGGTGCCTAATTATTTAAAATTAGTAATCTTTAAATTTTCTACTTTATAGACAGAAGTACCTTTGTATATGTGTGATCAGTTGCAATCCAATTTTGAATTTTTACTAAAATTTCTTAGTATTAGCAAAACATCTTTATTTTTTCATTTTTTCTTGTTTTTTAACTGTCTGGAAAACTGTCCAGATTAAAGTCTGCATAATACTAAAAATAAATTAGTAAAGATAGTAAATGCATGTTTTGACAGCAAATAATATAGAAATATATCTATAGTGCATTCACCTTACAGTGTAACATGACTAAAAAATCATGACTTAGGATAAATCAATTGAAAGAATTATGTCAAGTACACCAATTAAAATCAAGTATAATCATTTATTTTCTAAATGGAATTTTTATTTTTGAATAAGACAATACATACAAATGTAACGATGTATTTAAACTGATTAAAATACTTAAAGACTGATTTAGCTTCTACAGGGTGTCTGCCAAATCAGGTAAATCAGATAAAACAGGGAAAAGTCAGGGAATTCAGATAACTTCAAAAAAAATCAGGGGATTATCAGGGAAATTAGGTTATTTTTGGAAAAATGAGGGAGAAATCAGGGAAAACGGCTCTTCATCAAACTTACATAACTTAAGTAAGTTGCATATGGTACAAGTAATATAAAAGATTATTTGGCAAATAGTTTTATGAACTTCTCTTGATACATTTAATGTAGGTTGTATTATTGTTTATATTTTTGCAGTTGAAGAACATTTTTCTTAATGAATCTAGATCAATTTTTGTGAAGTTGAGTTTAGGTAACTTTAAATTAAATCAGGGAAAACAGGTAGAAGATCAGGGAAAATTCAGGGAAAAGTCAAGGAAATCCACCTTAAAATATTGGCAGACACCCTGTTCTATATAGTTTTAATGAAAAAGTTATATTTGTAATGAGCTTTCAGCATTTAACAAAAAATTTGTAAAAAAAAATCATGCTCTGGAATATAAAAATATAAAATGGAAAATTACATTATTACATTAATATGAAATTATCGCATTACACTTTAGAAAAAACAACTAATTTCATACTCATACTATGTATAATCCAGAATAAAATACAATAGTATTCATTATGTTAACAAACTGCAATTATTTTAAAATATATCACTATTCAAGTGTTAAAAAATAGAACTCTCTTTTTAAAGTAATATAACCGCATTTTCTCTAAAAGAGAATCACCTCAATCACCACAAAAACAAATAGCACCTCTATAACTGATTTGCATTTCTTTTTGCATATATATATATGTGTGTGCTTTATTTTTTTATTGTATATATATATATATATATATATATATATATATATATATATATATATATATATATATATATATATATGTATATATATATATATCACCCGAACCATTGTATTGTGATACACATACATACATACATACATACATACATACATACATACATACATACATACATACATACATACATACATACATGTGTATATATATATATATATATATATATATATATATATATATATACACATGTATGTATGTATGTATGTATGTATGTATGTATGTATGTATGTATGTATGTATGTATGTATGTATGTATGTATGTATGTATGTATGTATTTATGTATGTATGTATGTATGTATGTATATATGTATGTATGTATGTATGTATGTATGTATGTATGTATGTATGTATGTATGTATGTATGTATGTATGTATGTATGTATGTATGTATGTATGTATGTATGTATGTATGTATGTATGTATGTATGTATGTATGTATGTATGTATGTATGTATGTATGTATGTGTATCACAATACAATGGTTCGGGTGATTTTTCAGAATGGATATAGAAATTGGAACTGGTAGCAAAACTTCAAAAAGTTGACGAGTCTTGTTTCTTTCTGGTGGGGCGTTTGCCGTTTATCAAGGCCTAAGTGATAAGATAAAAAAAGACTACAATGAAGTGAAAACTGCACTGACTACTGCCTTCTCTGCTTCTCCGCTAACAGCATACGAAGAGTTCGTAAATCGCCGTTTTAAAGAGAATGAGTCCGTTGACATATTTCTCGCAGAGTTAACAAAACTGAGCAAGCTAATATCATCTCATGTAAGCGAAGAGTGGATTAGGTGCGAATTTATTCTTGGATTACCTGACGAAGCAAGAAAACAGCTGCAAACTGCATGCTCAATATCAACAATGTTGCTGTGCCAGATCGCTGAAAAATCCAGAAGTTTAGTAATTTTACGTTGTAAAGAATCATGTTTTGTCAGTTGTGTGAATTTAGTTGCCATTAGTTCAAGACAGGTTCATAAAGAACGCGGAAAAAAGACCATAACGTGCTTGTGGTGAGGATGGACATATCAGTCAAAACTGCAGCAAAGAAATTGAGAAGAGGTCACTTTGTGTGTGGGATGGACAATCACCTGGCCCAGCACTGCTATAAAAGGTGTGCGAACTCAAAAAAGGTGGAAGGGAAGCCACCCATTTTTGTGCGAGCGGCTTCCTACAAAATTTAAAACCGCCAACTCTCTGCGTATATGTCAATGGAAGAAAAATAAAAGCATTGTTAGATACTAAATGCTCCAAATCAATTTTAAGTCGGGATATTGTAAACATAAAAAATGTCAAACATGCAAGCAAAAAGGCTGTTATGATGAATGGAAAGTCAATTGAAGTACAATACCAGACTGTTGTTGATCTTTCTATAAATGATACCACCATTGATTTGGAATGCCTGGTTGCCGACATTGTTCCCGAATATCAAATGCTCTTTGGCATGGATGCAATACAACTGCTCGGAGGTGTCCAAGTTGGGAGAGACGGCGAAACTATAAACTTTAATGTGGAGCAACTAACTGTTGGCGCTACTGCAGTCTCTCAAGGAAAAACGAATGAAGTATCCACACCTACTGTTCAAAAGCTGATTGATAAAGACTGATTGATTGATAAAGACTGATTGATTGATAAAGACTGATTGATTGATAAAGACTGATTGATTGATAAAGACTGATTGATTGATAAAGACTGATTGATTGATAAAGACTGATTGATTGATAAAGACTGATTGATTGATAAAGACTAATTGATAAAGCAGAATTCAAAAATGGCAGCTGGAGCGTGTCTTGGAAATGGCTGATGGAACCACCAACTTTAACAAACAAAATTCTAAACTATCACATCTCTGAAGACGTTAAAAGTGAGTACGCAATAGAAATAAGTGAATGAATAGCACAGGAATGGCTGAAACCGTTTGAAGGGAAATGTAATGGCATCATTCCGTTGATGGCAGTAATTCAACGAAACAAATTAAAAGTACGTCCAGTGATAGACTACCGGGAGCTGAATCAATTTGTATCCAGTCATACTGCAGATGGCGATGTTTACAGTACCAAACTTCGCAACTGGAGAAAGTTGGGAGAAAATCTTGAGATAATCGATTTAAAGAAAGCATACCTGCAGATTCGTGTCGACGAAGAATTATGGAAATATCAAGTTGTGGAATATGAAGGGCAGCAATACTGTCTAACAAGATTGGTTTAAATGTGGCGCCCAGAATAATGACAAAAATCTTAAAAAAGGTATTATCCTTAGACAAAGTTGTCGAGTCTGGGATAGATTCATTTATTGATGACATCATTGTCAATAATAACAGTGTCAAGTTGCAGAGTTTAAGAACTCTTGAAAAAATATGGCTTGGATTCTAAGCTGCCAGAAAAACTTGTCGGTGGGCGTGTGGTTGGATTGCGAGTGTACAAACAATGCAACCAAGTGCGTTGGAAACGTGACAACATACCCAAAGTTTCTGAAGGAAAAATGACGCGTCAGCAAATATTTTCTTGGTGCGGACAGCTGACTGGACATTTTCCAATAGCAAATTGGTTGCGCCCTTCGTGCAGCTATCTAAAAAGGGTTTCGAGTAGTTGTGGATGGGACACTTTGGTGAACGATCGTGTTGTCAAATTAGTAAGCAGTTTAAATAAAAGACTTACAAAGGAAGATCCCGTTCATGGGTCATGGAACGTAAAAAACACTTCTGAAGCAACAGTGTGGTGCAATGCAAGCAGTTTAGCTGTTGGCATAGTTCTGGAAGTGGCTGGGGAAATAGTAGAAGACTGCTCATGGCTGAGAAAACAAAATGATGCGGTTCACATTAATCTCGCAGAGTTAGAAGCTGTGATAAAAGGAATCAATCTAGCAACAAAATGAGGATTTGAATGTATTACCATAAAGTGTGACTCGGCTACTGTTATTGGCTGGTTGAAATCCTTAATCATTGGTAACAAACCCATTTGAGTACATGGTCTTGGAGAACCACTTGTCTGTCGCCGGTTGTTGTTAATTTAAGACCTTGTGAAGGAGTGTGCTATACAATTAAAACTTTTCCTGGTTAAGTCAGCAGAAAATAAAGTCGATGCTCTTAAGTGGGTATC